TATGCAACGTGTACGCAACCCTATGACATATCAGAGTTATTCTGAAGGCTTTTTCGGTAAAGTCACGTAGGTAAAAAATTTAAATTAATAAAAGTAAAATAAAAATAAAATTATTTTTTATTTTATTTATATTTTACTTTTATTAATTTAAATTTTTTTTAAGTAAAATAAAAATAAAATTATTTTTTATTTAATTTTTATTTTACTTTTATTAATTTTATTTTTTTTACCTACGTGACTTTACCGAAAAAACCTAAGAATATGAATCCTTGCAGTCACGAAAGCTTCAAATCTAGAATTATTCTGAAGGCTTCGGTTTTCCTCGACGGGCTCGCGGTTGTTGTCTTGCCACGTGGCATCTTTAGATCTGCACTTGCTGAAAGCTACAGAGTTTGACACTTACGAGAGAAAACAGCTTATTGGTGCGCCGTCGCTGTTGATGAACGCTTTGGAAAAGTGTGGACATGTGCAGACGTCCTTGCTGACACTGTCTCTCTCCGTCTCTCAATTATAATCGCTGTATGCCCTCCATTTATCTGTGCGTCTCTGGGTGTCTGTGTCTCTCTGTCTGTCGCTTATATTTCCTTCTATCTCTGATTCTGTGTCCATCTGTCGAGACGTCTCCATTGATGCCCTCTTTTTCAATTGTACCTCTGCCACCGTCTGTGCCTCTGTGCCCCTCCATTCCCTACATATCCCTGGGTGTCTGCATCTCTCTGTGCCTTTGTCTCAAGTTTATCTCCGTATGTTTCTCTCTCTATTTTTCTCTGTCTAGAAGTCCCCACTGACAAACCCTCTCTCTCAATTCTCTCGCTGTCTCTCTGTGTCTTCGTGTTCCTGAACGTTTGTCTGTGCGTGTCTCTGCGTGTCAGTATATCTGTGTCTGGTGGCATCGTGGTTAGTGCACTGCACTCGGAACTTGGAGACCTAGGTTCGATTCCCGCTTACAGTCTAACACCAGTGGCAATTATCTCAACCGGTCCTAGGCCTGCCCCAGGTCGTCCAGTCTCAAATGAGTGCCTGGTGTGGTGTGTAAACATCGCCACTGGGGAGACAAAGGCGGTCACGTGTGGTGTTGGCCACCCACCCCCTTGTGTGCCGTGCCGACCTTCATAGTTGCTCGCTAACAGCACTTGCCCCAACAGCCTGTTAAGGCTATAGGGGATCTTTGTGTCTGTCTCTAAGAGCTCTTTCCATTTGTCTCTGTGTGTCTCTCCGTGTCCCTCTGTCTAGATGTCCCCACTGACACCCTGTGCCATTACCCGCTACTCATCCCTCCACAAATGGAAATGTAATTGACTCGCTGAAAAGTAAAAAAAAACAGGCTTCACTGATGCATTGACCCCGATCTCTGGTTGTTGTAAATGTCATGGCTTAACATGAAAGTCAGTGGCATCATGCACCTAGGCAACTTTGAGCGATTTCCCAAAGGCACTTAATGAAAAGGTTACGCTACGTGTTAAAATAAAGACGGGCCTGAACACTACCTGCTCTTAAACGATGCATAATTTATTATTAAGCTGTAATTATTTAAAAGGAGAAAGATTAACAGAAAGGTCTACCTTTGCTCCACCACACCCTTTTCAATAACAGGGGAAGCTCTACATTGTATTTAACATGCCACGGGTTTCATCACCACGAATGGTACGACTGGAATCGTTTTAAAGGCATTAGTCATCTTTCCATTGGTCCCAATCAAGCTGCTCACATTTTGCGTGCCAATGGTTTCAAACGAGTGCCAGGCCAACACTGCTATACCTACTATAATCACCCAGGAATGTCTGTCCTTAACGTTCGTGGCGTCACTCCACATCGATCAGATCCCCTCATTAATATTCATGAGCAGGTGACGTCACTCCACATGAACACCCCCCCCCCCATTATTATTACCTACTATAATGAGCCAATAATATGTGTGTAACGCTCGTGACGTCACTCCACGTCGACCAGCCCCCCTCATTAATAATCATGAACAGGTTACATCACTCCACATCGAACAGCCCCCCTTATTAATAATCATGAGCAGGTGACGTCCTCCAAATGGACACCCCCCCCCCCATTAATTATAATTAGCGGGTGACGTCACTCCACATGGGGGGCTGAGACGCCTCCTCCCCCCTCCTCGGCGTCAACTCACAACCCTCACTACAAAGGCAGAACCCTCACGTCACGTGGTCTCCGTAACGCTGTTGAGACATCAAAGTAAAAAGGACGTCATGATGAACAAGGGATTATAACCTTAAAATAAAATAAGTCTGTGTCACCGCGCCCTTACAAATTGCACACGCATTGATGCAATGAATATCACGTCGCGATCTACTTTTCGTTTGCAAGTTTCAGATTTACTGCAATACACCTATCCTTGGACGGGCAGACGGTGAGTTTGCTACATTTGGCACTGTTATAAAGTAATAACTCCCAGGGGTATTTCAAGGAATGCTTGTATTCTGCAACAATTGAAATTCTGGAGCTGTGAAACTGCAATGTGGACCTTTTTCTCTGAAAACAAGTCAAAATGAAAGAATCAGTTTCACGTGTGTCCCTCCATGCATCAAATTGCTTTATTTGTCTCACAAATCGATGCTGTTAAGGGGCCACAACGGTGCACTGCGTCAAAACTTTACCAAGAAAGGAGGAACCCATACTCTTTGGTTCTTTAATTAAAGTAACAAAATAGATGAAGGCCGTTTTGTGAACATTTACAATTTATTTGAGACGCATCATAATAATAAAAACACAATCATTCGTCCGGCTGATGCATACAAAACAAAAAAAACTCAGACCATTCCGTAAATGTCGATGGACGACCTGGGCGCTTATTTGTATAAATTTTGTATTTCCCATCTTGGCGATTCGCGACCTCGTGTTGATTCCGTTCAAGAGGTGCCCGAGGCCCCCAGTGTCCAAGACGCTGGTTCATGGCGTAACAGGAGGAATGTCTGGGCAGTGAAGCACTCTCGACCAGCACATTTGTCTTGTATGCAGTGGAAGATGGCAGCAGCAGTCGTCTTTTCAGTTTACAGGTTGCAAACTAAAAAAAACGGCACTGAAAAATGGGAGTGTGTGGTCAGCCAGTGTGGTCAAACTAAGCATTTAAAATAACCATCTAGCTAAGTCTAAGCAGATGCCATCATTTAAAGTAAGACCCAGATGGGCTGAGCAATTGTAATTAACGAAGAGTGCAAGAATACTATAGAGTACAGGAATATAATATCAGGGTTAAACATAACAACGAAATAAATCGGTCTATTAAAATGAATAACGCGACTTTGATATTGAATCCAACTTCTGAGCCTCACTCAGAGAGCCACTTCTAAAGCACGTGCGCTCTCAGCCCTCTGCCTGGGCTCCCGCTCACGTGAGTCATTGTGTCAGCGTTCATATCCCGCTTGACAACCACGAAACCAGCGGAGGTAAAATTCCACATTCCTCTGACAAATCTATTCAGGAGGACAAATCGCCGTCGACCTCCTCGATTTGGCAACCTCAGGTGTGGAGCAAGAGATGAGATCGACAACCCTGACCGGGGTTTTGATCTCGCAAACCTTGCGACTGCCATCCACACACTGCACCACTGCACTGTCCAGTTCCAGAGGAAGCATCTGTCTGCAGGATGATCACTCGAAAGCAACTGCGACTACAAAAATGCTACAAATGGAACTCGTGTTAATGGTGGTGGTGATTATTATTAATGGAATCAAAACAAAGTAGTATGAAGAAAACAAGAGCAATCCATGTAACTTAAATAATAAATTGCAAAGTTAATTATGTATGTATTGTCTAACAAGTCAATCATGAGACTGAAAAATGTATCTGCCTATGTCCTCTCTTTGGAATGTTCACACTTAAATTCTAACTTAGCAATCTTTGAAATACGTAATCAACCAGGCTATGCGTTAATTGTGTGTTGACCGACCCTCTGTGTTGTATTACATTACATTTCGATATTTTACTAGGTTATTGAATTTTAGTTTGTCCTCCTGATTTTAAGGCTTGCTTGCCGTGTCATCGCACTTGCAACACCATGTTTGTTGTCCACTCATTGATATGCAAATGTTTTCTCTAACCCCCTCCCTCTCTCTGCCTCCGCCCCCCTCTGTCTATTAAAGGCAACCCCACAGAGATGATCACCCCTCTCTGTTACCTGTGTTGCTCTCTCTATGTATTTTGGTGATATCTGTCTGCTAATATGTCTGTCTATAGTTTTCTGGTTAGATTTTATGTCGCTATTTCATTATACCTGATGATGATTGCTTGTGTTGCAATCGAAACGTCGTATGCTATTATTTAATTTAATTTATTATTTTATCTTTAGACGTGACTTAACCGAAAGAACCAAATAATATCTGTGATGTGTATAGTAGATAGACAAAAAATATTGGCTTAATGGTCCATCGCGGAAGCAAGACCACTGTCCAAACACAGATGTATGTTGAACTTCTTTCACACAGTACATAGCCGACCCTGCTAATCGGAGGTGCGGGGTAAGGACAACAAAATAAACACAAAAAACAGTTCTACAGAAATTCGTTTTCAATCTGGATGATTTAAAAGTGCATAGCTCCGGTGGCTTTCTAATATCGGAAGGAAGAGCGTTCCAGACGGCGCAGAAGCGCATCTGAAAGCGCCGCGTGATGCGGTGACCGTCTTTGTTGGATGGCCCAGCAAAAATTCGCTGCGAAGATGACCGGAAATGTAAATATTGATAAAAAAACACATAGATAGGCAACAGAAAATGTAACAACTCCGCAGGTGAAAGGGTTAACTTGCGGAAGAAGACGCTGTGCGTTGAAGTGTGGGACAAAGGCTTGTGTGCTAGGCTCAATGTTATTTTCTTCCCTCGTGTCGACTTGCCTCTGCCCCCCGCCCGCCTCCTTCCCAAAACCCCATCCCCACATCCCCCACCGCCGCCTTATTCTCGTGCACTCCCTCATTTCCCCTCCTCTTGGCTCTGTGTGTCACGCACGCGCACGGCACGCGCACGGCACGCGCGCACGCAGACACGCGGAGCAACGCTCCTGCCATGAAGGAAGAGGGCACTCAGCGGCGTCGGTTCTCTCTCTACGCCGGCATCGTGTCTCCGCCAAAGCACGCCTCCCGCAAGCTCGTGAGAAATGCGTCTTTCGGCGGCTACAATGAGATCACGTTGCCCTGCCCAGGTGAGAGCCACCCGCCCCTGCATCATAAACAAACAAACAAGCAACAGCAACAACAACAACAACTTCCCATCGCCTTGCGCGTGGGAAGCGATCGCGGCAGTTCGTTATCGCCGTGCAGTTTGGACGCTGCACCGGGCGTAGCGGTTTTAAAGCACGCTGGGCAAGTTGACTCAATCCACCCATTGCCTCTGTCAACCATTCGCATGCGCACACACTACAGTTAGTCGAATGGAAGGTCACCTGTGATTGGGATGAGGCATGGGTACTTTCACATTTTCCAAAACATCTGGCCAGCTGAGAGGCGTATGGTCAAATACCCTCTAGAGAGGGGGGGGCTCTGCAGAGCTTTCCCGAGTGGAGGCCCTTCAGCGAGCAGCGGCGTGAGCAAGCAATTGCAGGGCTGCACCTCTGTCCTTTGTACGATCACAACAGTCGTTGTCTCGAGAGAGAAGGCGACTGCCATGCGCGCATAGCAATGTGGAACCTTCATCACCGACTCAGGACTCTCTAGGGAGACCAGCGGCACTCAACTCTTGCTTGACCTTGAAGACACTCGACTTTATTATTGTTGCGCATGCTTATGAATTGGAGTTGATTTGCAAAATTTGCAGTGCACGTAGGGCCCCTTTTGAGAATCCACTGTCGCACGAGAACCTCCCTTACGCCGCAGGAGCTGCGGGGTTATACTTCACCACCCTGGTCCGTGCGGGTTTGGGGAAAGGCTCCCTTTCAACGTACGCGTGAATTGAAGCGCCTCTCATCCGCGCGTTTTTAATGCTGTCCAGCTGATGTTGAAAGCGTTAATGCGTTAGCTCTGTCCGTCTCTATCTGCCTGCCCTCTCTGTAGCAAGGTTATGCGATAACTCTCACAAAGATAATCCAATTTAGATGGAATTTTAGTGGAAGTTGTCTACTCTGTTGAAAACCGAACAAATTGGTCTTAAGGATTGCCCCAAACGTATTTTTTTTTATGTCATTCAGTTTGCATAAAATTTATCCCAGTTTTTAGAAAAATGACTTTGGATGCAAGGTCGTTCCCTATAAAAACATAGAAATGGCTTTATATTCTATGCTGTGTGTGCAAATGCTACTAATAAAACTATATACTGAATTTTTTTTTGCTGGCATAGACTTTAAAAAATATATTTAAATGTAGCATGTGTATATATATTTGTTCATTAATATATGGACCAAAAGGGCTGTACATGATACTAAAATGCCACGTGAAATTTCATACAGACATAAATAACAGTGCACGCAACTGTGTGGAATTTACGTCTGTTAAAATGTTCATGATCAATATTTGCGAAAACATCCCAAGTGCAGACGTCGTAATTAAACCGACGTTTGAAAGATTATCAGCAGCACATTCTGGGCTGATGACAACAGCTGCCATTCAACCGTCAATTACGTACAGTCCTTTAATTGCGACTATACTTGCCATCATAGATTCATTAGTACCCTGCAATGTTATCGCTTACGATGTTTCTATGTACGGAGCATCAATATAAGTGCAAATCGCTTTTGTCCGTACGATGTTCTCAATTCGTCGTTTGAGATCGGCTGGGGGTCAGGGCGTGTTAATTGATAAAAATTGTAGCTTCGTGGCCAATTAAAGTTCTGTGGATGGTACGCCCCAACAGTCTCCACAGACCCATTATCCAAAGACACCGCAGCAGCAACACATTCGTTTAGTAAATCGTTAAAACGTTTGTCCACTTTAAAAAATAAATGTGCGTCCTGAACAACCATTATATCCACGTTTGACCAATTTTAACGGGAATTAGTAATGTTGTCAAATATTAGTGTACTGTGTATCTGAATGTTATAAAATATAAAGTCTTTCAAATATGTAATTGAAAAGTAGCGTACCAATGTGACAAAGGGATAACGTTTTTAATCAGCGCGTCCTACCACTTGATGACATGGTTCGGAAGAATGGAGCAAGGAGAGACGCACGTTCGGAATTACACCGAGAGAGAGAGAATAAGTAAACCCGTAATAACAAAGTTTTTCACTCTAAATCCTTTATATGAGTGGCGGCTAGAGTCCTCTCATCCTCTGGCTTGAGATGGCTGCCACCTATGGGTCAGATGATTGTCTGCAGTATTAAACAATTGGTAATTAAATATAATATTTTTGTCCTATAAAGTGTAAAATTTTGGAAAAATTTTTTCACGAACATTAATTGTCACGCACAACGAGTCTGTGTGGAAAATGTCAACTCGATTGGATCATGGGAAGTGGGTTAAAAAACGACCGAAAGATTTACACGGTCGTAAGCAAGCAAGCAAGCACGCAAGCGAACTTAATATAAAGGATTTAAAAAGGAAGACGTGGGCTTAGGGAACACACCGCATAGCTCAAATCTGTTTTCACAAATTAAAAGTGGGCTAGGGCAAGACGGAGTGATGATGGCCGATGATCAAGAATAACGACAGAGTAGCATCTTCTTGGCTCTTTCGGTAAAGTCACGTAGAATGGAAATAATAACATAATAAAAATAAAACACAATAAAATAATAAAATAATATACGTGGAATGGAAATAATAAAATAAAAATAAAGATATTGCATAGTTAAATAATATAATAAAACATTTGTTATTTTATTATGTGGTATTTTTTTATTTCCATTCAACGTATATTATTTTATTATTTTATGGAAATAATAAAATAAAAATATTACATAATAAAAGAATATAATACAATTTTATTTTATTATGTTTTCTTTTTATTATTTTATTATTTCCATTCTACGTGACTTTACCGAAAGAACCAAGAAGATGAATCCCTGCAGTCACAAAAGCTTTAAATCGACGGCGTAGCAGCTAAGAAATGCAACACGCCCGACAGAGGATATCCACTGCGAGGTGCTGGGTGAATTTCTTATCGCGAGGATTGGATTGGATTGTGGCCACTTAGGGAGGCCTTCATCCAGCAGTGGACTAACCATGGCTGATGATGATTATTATTATATATGCTACGCATGCATGTAACGCAATGCGCGCTCTCTATCCGCATTTATTTATTTGACAATACGGATGACCATATTTGTATGCGTATTTAATTTACAAAAATAACTGCTGTACTCGAATTATTAATGACCTAAATCCTGAAAAACACTCAAGCTTATGCATACAAAAGACTCATCTAGTATGCAATCCGGAATTTGAAAACCTCTTAACACGATTGCATTTGGTTAAAAAACGAGGCATAATGCCTTGCATTAACAAAGTACAAAATATATAATGTTTGCTGGGGCAAGGATCTGCTCCCGTTTTTGCCAAATGGGTCCCAGGTGCCTCTAGAGAAAAGAACAATGCCTTTTTCTGATTGAAAATTATATTTGGAAAACCAATTTCCACTTCCCAGGTACTTGGGACCATGTCAAATCCCATCAATTGAAATGCAATGGGGGTCCACCGTGTGAATAATAAAGAAATGTACACCCATTTGTTATTCTGCTGCTGGGTTAAGGCCGACCCTAACCATGTCGGGCATAGGGGTTGTCTAACCATACTTCAATGCAACGAACAGTGTGGGGTCAGTGAAAGCGAGGGGGGCCAGGACAAATTCATATATCACTCGCCACTGAGGTTAGCCGTGGCTGGGAATCACACTTAAGAGCTCCAAGTACGTACAGCCTGGTGCACGACGCGCCACTCTACACTATATATATGTCTATTTTTAAAGCACCAAATAATAATCTCTATTAATACATTCAATTACACGGACTGGGGTTTCTTATATCATAAATTGCTGCCAATTTTCTGCGTCAGAAACGTGTGTAGTGGCGTAACGCGCGGGGTTAGCAAACAGCGGGTGCATTTGAGGGCGAGCAGGTGCAAGGGTCAAGACATGGAGTAGCCGCCAGAGAGGCGCCAGCAATTAGGGGGAGAGGCAGTAATGAAGCGGGTGCATTTGGGGACAGGCAGGTGCGAGCGTGGGAACACGGGGTAGACACCGGAGAGGCGGGAGATGGAGGCGATAAGAGAGAGAGAGCACGTACAGGAGGCGCCGCTGAGGCACCAGCTTAATGGGGGGTAACTGAGGACCCTTAATGAGGAGGGGGGTATAAGGGTGTGCGCGGAGCCACACGGGGTTGTTGTTGGTTGGAGCTGAAGGAACGAAGAGGACACGAGCCGGGGAGAAGAAGCCTGGGACCTCGCCCTCCACACCTCGTCCTGCCCAGCGGTGTTGGCTGATCCCCCGCTGGGGGCAAGGACGAGGGTGGAGGTGTGAGAGGAGAGCGACAGGCTAGTGGAGTAGTAAGTGACAGGCTAGCGGAGTACAGAGTGACAGGCAGCAGAGGATAGAGTGACAGGCTAGCGGAGGATAGTGACAGGCTAGCGGAGGATAGAGAGAGGGAGTTAGTGTGAGGACCATCCACATGGGATGCGAAGTAATAAAGTGACACAGGAGAAAAGCCAAAAGTGTCCGTGTCAATACACCACTACACATGTATGGTTTCTTATTTAGGCCTCATTTGTCCTTTAAAGGGAGGAAGGTTGCTGCACATAGCCAATTTATCAGACAAATGAGCTGCAAGTGAAACTCAATCCACATTTGTGGCTTCCAACCGCATTGCATTACCAGGCCAGCTCAGATTGTTGTGTGACAAACACTCCATGACACCTAACCCAAAAATCAGTTGATGAGCCCCATTTTATATCCCCCAGTTTCCCAGAGCTCCCCGTGTCCCTTCAAGCCACCTGTTGCTCCTCAGGCACCACACGTTCTTTACGTCCTCTCAAAACAACTCATCCAGTGACTAAACGGTGACTCGGCTAAAACTCAAACTCAATGACGTGGTGAAAAAAAAAACTGAAACTTCTCTGCTGGAGAAGGCCTTTAGCTGCCTAGAAACACAAAGTCGCTTTGCATCGCCAGCACGATGCCCAATTACCGAGGCTTCTGCCTCAACGGTAGCCAAGTAGCGTGACACGGCAGACTTGCCTCGTGGACGAAGCTTGGTAGATCTGTTACCTCGTTGTTTTTTTCACAAGCATCTCGCTTAAGGAGTTCCTTATTCATCCAATTATGCAGAGACATAATGGGCGCTCACTCTCACCGTAACTATAGTCTTGTTCAAGCCCATTACTGTACAAAAAAATCACCATGGTAATTTTCTTTACGATAAACGAAACAGTAACAGCTGGAATGTGCAGTATATTATAGAAAATAAATCACAATTAAAATCTTCTCAATTCACTCATTAATGAAGGCCTTCCCATGCCGAGTGAATTAAGTGGGGGGTTTCGACCATACTTCACCGGAGTGGTCAGTGTGGGTTAGCGAACGCAGTGGGGTCGGGGGAGGCGGGTGGAGAGTCTGGGTTGAGCAGGAACTGGACTGATATCCCTTGCCACTGATCTTAGCCGTGGATGGGAATGAAACTCAGGTGGTTTAACTCACAGCGCAGCACGTGAACTGGCGTGGCCTCTCTCCGCGCACACTAAAGTAGATTATAATTAATCTGATAATGCACACATTGTAAAAAGCCATTTGGTAAGTGTCCAAAAAAACTTTTTCCCCGCAGAAACACAGTTCTGGGTATTGCATTACGACGAGTGGAGTTGTTTTTTGTGAATTTTACTTGTGCACCAATTCGTTTTCACGAGGTTAGACATGCTGTTCAGATAAATGGATCAGAGACCAGTAACAAATAAGAAGTATGAGTGCACATCCCAACGTGAGGTACATTTCACATTCTGTACCGAGAAAGCAACTGGATTTTCGTTTCACAGGACAGCACAATATCTCAGACGGAGCATTTGCCGTGTTTTGTGTTCACGTATTCACCAGGATTGGAGTGGTGGCACAGTGTTTAGCATGCTGCGCTATGAACCTGGCAACCCCCGAGTTGTGTTCCAGGCGATGGCCAACTTCAGTGGCGAGTAATATCTGAACCAGCCCAGAGCTCACAAACAAACCTGCACTGACCAAAATGGTGAAGTATAGTCAAAAGAGAAACCTCCATGAATGACGAGGCATGGGGGATGCCTTGGTCCATTACTGGATTAAATCAGGCAGATTGTATATATATACACAACAGCGAAAGGCCACCTGTCCAAAACCCTCACGCTCGCCTTCGCTGTCCTCGTAATCCGCTTTGCAACTTCAGTTCTCCGATTAAAGGGTCAGAGGGTCATCTTGCGCGTGTCACACACGCACAAAGCACGTGCCAATCTACAACTCAATTCTCTCCTCGCGTGAAAGTGCCGCTGCTGCTGCTGCTGCCGCTGCTGCTGCTGCTGCCGCTGCCGCTGCTGCGGACGTGAGTGAGTTAGGGGGGCTAAAAAACAAGGGGGGGGGGGACATTACACGTGGAAGAGGCGTCCTTCAACACTGGGAGCGCGCAATGCTATTCACCCTGCAGATGTCTTTTCTACCTTAATGTAGGGTTTCGTTGGGTTAGATCGCATAAATATCTAAATGTGCCGTTAAACCCACCACCACCCGACACAGCCAATTTGTAAGGTTTGTCACATAAACAGAACATGCCAATTCGTTACTAGGACAGCACACCGGTTGTGTGTTGGAGAGCAAATCCACAACATTTACAAACCTTTGGGCGGAGCACTGGCGTAGTAGTCAGCACAGCTGCGCTGTGGAACCGGTAACCTGAGATTGAATCATCAAGCGGCGAGTGACTGACGAACAATTCCTGTCCCCCACCTTCACCAACTCACAATAACCAGCATGGTGACGTACGGTCAAACAACGCCAAGGCGTAAGGAGGGGCCTTCGTCCAGCAGTGGATTAACAAAAGACAATAAGTATAATGTTCTTACTTGTAATGGGATACATATGTTGGTGTGATAATGCATTGGCAGTGGTGTACAAGAACAAATAACAAAAACAAATTAAATCGAATTCATCAGTAACACGGTGGCCTTAAAAGGAATATTATAGAATTGGTGGCGTGTCAAGCCACATTACAGGCCAGAGAGGTAGAGTGGGCAAGAGTCAGAATAATCATATCTCGATTTAAAGCTTTCGTGACTGCAGGGATTCATCTTCTTGGTTCTTTCGGTAAAGTCACGTAGAAGGGAAATAATAAAATAATAAAAATAAAACAATACAATTATTTTATTATGTTTTATTTATTACATAATAAAATTATTTTATTATGTTTTATTTATTACATAATAAAATTATTTTATTATGTTTTATTTTTATTATTTTATTATTTCCATTCCACGTGACTTTACCGAAAGAACCAAGAAGAATAATCACATCGTATATCGCATGCTCATGTGTGCAATGTTGTCTTCTCTTCTTGACGTCACCTTCCTGAAGTGGATAAAGATAAGGGCACGTTGATACCCAAAGACCTCACGCCACTCACCATCTCCAAAAGTAAGGTAAGACAAAGGCGGCCGGAGCTCTCTCGGCATCACTCACCACACGTGATGCCCTGTGCACACTCAGCGGATGGCTCCCCGGGTGCCTCGCGATCCTAATGGAGAAAACTTCTAACTGGTCACAGAGCTGGCGGTCGGTGACGGCTACGGAAATAGATGGACGTTCCACACTCTCTCTCTCTCTCGTCTCTCCAGCCAAAAACAACAGTGACCTCGTTCATTACGCTGTAACGATCCATCGGCAACCCACCCCACTCCCCACCCATCCATCCATCCGCGGCGCCCTCCAGGCCCCCACTGCACCACCATGTGATTGTATAGCCATGAATTGGGACCTCACGATTCAAGGATGTATATTCTCTTTTTTCGTTTTTTGGCACCGATGTTTGTATTTGTTCTCGTTTTCCTCTATGTGGGTTGAACGTGTTTTTTTTTGTTTTCTCCATTTAGCCTCCGTGGAACGCGAGCGTGTGATCTGTATAATTGTAAAGTTCGATTCTCACACGGCACAATTGAGTCAACGCATGTGTCATTCGTGGGACAAATGGTTCAAATCAAAATGACGTATGTATCTTAACGGGCCTATCATGTACACAATGAATGTAACAGCCACAAAGACGGAAATTCCATGATGCAAGATAAAATGACGAATTTCAATTTGTCTTGTTGTACTAGCTATCGCAGAGGAATTGCAATCCAGAAATTAATAAAATCTTGTAAATGACAAGCAACTTTATCGTAACAACCAACTCAGTGCAGGCTAGAAAACGTAAATAGTTTCAATAACGCATAGGCACATGCACAAAAAAGCACTCAGCCTTGTGCATTATGCAAAAACCATCAAGAGATACAAAATAACTGCAGTGTGGCACTCTTGTCTTAGATCTCGGAGCTAGCATGCAAGACTAGACAAGAGATCTCTGATCTAAGACAAGATTAGAGCGGTTGGCTTAGTACGGTGCGAAAGAAGTTTAACATACGTACTTACAAACAGATCACGATCAAATCAATTTGAGCAAATGTGATCCGATGGGTAGTCGTGAAACAGATAGAGGGAGGGACAACTGGAGACCAGTTTCTTCCTCATGAGGACTCATCAGTGCACTAGAGTCGCCAATGCTCACCGCTGCAAACATCCAGAGGTTGCCGGTCCAATTTTATCTCTAGGGGCGGCAAGTGGAAACAATGATGCGAGTTTCTTGAATCCCGTCCACCCACATCTGACCAGCTGCATTGTGGGTACATCACCGTTAGTCAATCGACAGGTTACGTGTGACAGGGTAGAGTCGGGGTACTCTCACCTCTTTAAATATGTCTTGCCAGCATGGAAGAGTAGGCCAAATGCCCACTTGAGAGGGCTCTTATACCAGTAACGGGATAGGTAAGAAATACATTTTACAAATTTCGTAAAAATTATTAAAAGGTAAAAATATTTCGATTTGAAGCTTTCGTGACTGCAGGGATTCATCTTCTTGGTTCTTTCGATAAAGTCACGTAGAAGGAAAATAGTAAAAATAAAACATAATAAAAAATTCTCACAACGTTTCGGCCACAACGCAAGCAGCCGTCTTCAGGTGGAGAACAGGTCTGTCGAGAAGGCAGAGACCTGTTCTCCACCTGAAGACGGCTGCTTGCGTTGTGGCCGAAACGTCGTGAGAATTATTTTATTATGTTTTATTTGTATTATTTTATTATTTTCCTTCTACGTGACTTTACCGAAAGAACCAAGAAGAGGTCAAAATATGTTATGCACAAATGGAAATAGCATACGCATGGTCCAATGACAGCAGCATGAAGAACCCCGCAATTAGGCCCATGGTTAATTTTACATCTTTGTTTAGAATTAATAGTGTCGGAGGTTAACACAAGCCCGTCTGTGACAGTGGAGGAAAATCGCTATTACGTACATCAATAGACACTGGTGCAAGGACAATATGTCATTGATGTGATTACCACCGGGGGGATGCCGAACTGCTGCGCCATCCGCCGGGTCCGTCCGGAAAGGACATGCACATTGATAATTGCAGCTCCATAAATAGCAGCGTGCACATACATTAGTGATGTGTGCAAATGCTATGCCCGTCTATGCATTTATTTATTCTTAGTGCAAGACTATGCGTTTCACTTTTTGAGTGCTTATATAATTGCTTGATGTAATTGCAAGGTGGATCGCAGCACACGTTGAGGGAATTTAATAGAGAAGGCTGCAACGTTGGGCTAAACGATAAATGTGGGCAAAACAATTGGCGGATAAGGGCACGGAACGACGCATTTGCTCGACAAATCGAGATACCGGAGACATTTGTCGGAGGGACGCAAGTGAAAGACTGGAGAATTATATAAAACTATAAAACTAAACAATGTTTTCTTTTACCAGGTAAGGCCCACTGAGCTATATAGTTATTTTCTCACAAGCGACCTGGTTATCATAGATGATAGCGCAACGAATTGGCTCATCATGTCCAAATTTATTGCAGCCAAATATTTGAAACACGTGATGTTGATTCTAAATGTGGAGGGAAAAAACGGAGGACCCGGAGAAATATCCACGTGACCACGGGGAGAACATGCAAACTTCAAATGTAGAGCAGCCGTCAGGGTCAGGATCGAACCCACGGTCTCTTGTATACCAGGCGAGGTAGTTAACATCTCCTAGCCACCGTGGCGCCCAGAATGTGTATTCCTTGAACCGTTCTTGAAAATAGTAATAGTTAGTTTTTTACAACATGCCAGGGATGTGGACAGACTCCGTGATGCTAGAATGCATAAGTATTTTACAATTGTTTCATCAGGCATATGCCACGATACAAAGACACCTCCTTTCGGAACACTGCAGCCAGCAGTGCATCACTGTGAGTCATACATAACAGTCCTGGCAAAGCGTCACTGAACTCTAGATTTGAAGTTTTTGTGACTGCAGGGATCCATACTCTTTGGTTCTTTCGGTAAAGTCACGTAGATAGAAAATAAAATAAATTAAATCACAAAATTTATTTTATTGTATACCTACATGATTTTACCGAAAGAACCAAAGAGTATGTCACTGAACTGTTTATGAAGTCACTTTAGTCGGCGTCTTTCTCCACACTAGAGGGACGCACATTTAATATGCCCTGCAAAGATTTGTACGTCACATGTCAATCACACCAACATCCATAATACCGATTTTTTGGGGGGGATTATATCACGTAAATATAGACGTGTCGTTAAACCCGCCACCACGCGAAACAGCCAATTAGTAAGGTTTGTCACGTAAACCGAACATGCCAATTTGTTGCTAATACAGCACACCAGTTGTGTGTTGGAGAGCAAATCTACAACATTTTCAATCTGAGTACAACATACCACTTCTGGGTTCTTTTGGTAAAGTCACGTAGAATGGAAATAATAAAATAATAAAAATAAAACATAATAAAATAATTCTCACGACGTTTCGGCCACAACGCAAGCAGCCGTCCTCAGGTGAAGAATAGGTCTTAGACTCTCTTAGACTCTCTTAGACTCTAAGACCTATTCTTCACCTGAGGACGGCTGCTTGCGTTGTGGCCGAAACGTCGTGGGAATTATTATATTATGTTTTATTTTTATTATTTTATTATTTCCATTCTACGTGACTTTACCGAAAGAACCAAGAAGATGAATCCCTGCAGTCACGAAAACTTTAAATCGAAAAAAAACCCTTGTCCCCACCTGAAGAAGGACGCTTGTGTTGCGCCCGAAACGTCGTGATCTTTCTATTTGGTGTTTGAACATCTTCACACAACTGTTTTATTGCCAGAAAGGGTAAAAGTTATTCTTAATTGTCATACTTTAATCGCAGATGTCTGTCTCGATTTTAACTCAAGATTCGTAGTGGCCCAGGATCGGTGCTCTGAATCCTAGACCATAGAGAATTAGCTCATGATTTAAACCCGACTTATTAATTCCGGTCACTTTTGCCTATAAAACACAATCAATTGCTGATACTCGGCAACGTATTCAATGCGTGGCATGTACACGTGTATACCTTGCTGTGTTCTCTGCCTGTTTAGGACGCACTCTCTCCTCCCCCCACCCCCATCTGTATTCCAAAGCCAAATCTGGGGGCGAATCGTTTCATCCGGCAAGCGTGTCTTTGTGTGTGAGCACGTTTGCAAAACAAACAAACAAAAGACTTTATTGATACCGGGCACAAGTTATGGGGTGCGTTTTACTTCCCCCCCCACCGTCGCGTTCCCCCCCCCCCTCCACCCCCCACAGTCTGGGGAGATTGGGGTCGCCATACGCGACAATCTCAGGCGACTGCCACCTGCTGGGATTGCAGCTTAACGTTTTGTCAACAGCGGCTGAACGGAATTGCCTTCGATGGCAGGGGTGAGAGTTTCAATGATGAAAATATTTGTCTGCGTCTCCTACGCATGTCAACCCTTAACCACCGGCTATCGTTTTAACAATTCGTCGAAAGTGCGTTTGCGAAAGTGCTTTTTCTGCAATATTTTGCTGTCTTTTTTTGGATTTTCTGTTTGCACATAGTCACTTTAAGATGTTTTCTTGTTCATGTTTTAGTTTTTTTTGTTTGTTGCGGTTGCATCCGATTCAAGAGCCGAATGGCTCACAGGGCTATACCTAATAAATGAAACTTGAAAAACTTGAAACTTGGATGCGTAGAGACACATAGAGAGACCCGTAGAGTACCCATAGATACACATATAAACCCACACAGATGCAAAGAGCCCCATAGAGATACATGAGATACCAGACTAAGGGGCCGTCCATAAATGACGTCACGCACCTAGGGGGGGGGGGAGGGGTCAGACATTTGTGACGATGTGTGACGAGGGGGGGGGGGGGTGAGAAATGACGTCACGTCAAAATGCGCAACTTTAAATAAATATAGACAACACGATCTACTTAATTAAATAGACTTTTTGATAAATGTTTTTTCCTATAAATTCAGAGTGCAGCGCCACATTAAATACGCACTACATTGGCAATAGTTTAAAGCGATTTGAAGAATGTTT